AAGTTGTTTACCTTATTTAGGGCAGCAAACGAGACGAGACGAGACGAGCCTAGAAGGACCACGACTTTACCACCAACTTCAGAACTCAAACAGTAGCCAAGAATCTGGGCAAGAATACCCAAATAGTTCCCTTGAGTTCAAAGGAAATTTGTAATAGGGAAGAAAATAACACAAAGACCCTAAACGAATTGATTTTCTCTTTCGGAGTATTATCCAACTTCCACTTAAGTTGCTCAATATAGTTCCGCTCGAAAATTCTAACTCCCAATCCCCTTTACAATGAACAAGAGGAGAATATATATAGGAGACTACTAGGGTTTGAAAAATTTGGGAGGAAAAGGGGTGAAATCTGATTCAAGGCCCATTCCGAATTTTAAATTCGAAAGTCTTTCACCCTTTTGGGGGGGACACCTTTTTCTAAGAAATTCGCCCCATTCCGAAAGGGAAAAAGGGGGGATGGACGTCTCAGATTGATTCTAACGTCCTTGGCAAGCTATGTGGCATGATCTCGATCCAAGAGGACGAAAACGCGTGCTTCGCTGCTACAATCGAGCCTTAATGGCTCTGTCGGTCCTTGTGAGCATTTGAAGTTGTTGTTGCTGTTAACGTGTACAACTTTCTGAAATTTTTGTGAAGGGGAAAGAGGGAAGTGGGTCGGGTTTTTGTAGTTGTACGTTGTTGGTTATTTTTTGTATTGTTATAGTGTATTGTTGAATGGGTCTGTTTTGGTGGGTTACTGATGTATTGTTATTGGGCTGTGAATTGAAAGGAAATGGGAGTGGGCTGTTGGAAATGTTAGTAAGAGGGCCCAAATTGGTTTCTCAAAGGCTTAAAAAAAAAGAAGTAAAAGAAAAAGTAAAAATTAGGCAAATGACATAGTATAAGAAATAAATTACTTCCTTTCCCTACTCTTTCATTAATTACCAAAAATCCCTTTTTTTAGTGTTTTTCGGATACATAATATAGCAGTGTGGATACTTAATATAGCAGCGCGGATACTTTAATTAATAACGGACGGATACTTAAATTATTAAGTTGTTAGCAGCACGGATACTTGATTAACGGGCGGATGCATAATATAGCAGCGCAGATACTTTAATTAATAACGGGCGGATACTTAAATTATTAAGTTGTTAGCAGCACAGATACTTAATTAACGGGCGGATGCATAATATAGCAGTGCGGATACTTTAATTAATAACGGGCGGATACTTAAACTAATAAAGTATCCGGTTAAGTTGAATTGGGGGAAAATAAGGGATTTTTGTATTTTAGTAAAAGAGTAGGGAAATATTGAGAATATGTAAAGAAGTGTTGTGTATTTAAGTAATTTTTCCAAAGAAAAAGGCTAAAATTGCAAATAAGGTATAGTCATATTGAATTTAATTTGCAACTTCGGCCGAAATCTAACTAAGATCGAATTATTAAAACTAATTAATGAGCTTCTTAATTTTAGCGAAATAAAATAATTGGTTCAAATCTAAGATAATTAAACTAATTAACTAAAAATTACTATAATTCAAACTAAACTAAATTAATAAAATATTTAGTTTGAAAATGTAATGACTTTCAAATATTTATAAAGTATACTATATATATATATATATATATATATATATAAAACACATCTATTTTAAAAATTATAAAAGTGACGAAACTATTTAAAATAATTTGCAAATTATTTTATTTTTCATAAACTTGTATAACACTAATTATTTTAAATGCTTGAAATTTAAGAAGCTCGATAATTAATGTACATTGTGGAGGTCCAAAATTGGGTGTCAACAGTCACAGATAGGGGTGTATAAGTCAAACCGAACCGACGAATCAAATCAAACCGAAAAAAAAAAACCGACCACTCTTGGTTTGGTTTGGTATTATATGAAAAAAAGTCAAACCGAACCCAAACCAAACCGACATAATATATATATATATATATATATTACTATATATAATAAGTGGGAATATCTACCACTTAGCACATGACAAGTGTTGGATGATATGTGTTTCATAGTGTTGTACATTCTTCTATTATGGTTGTACCTTTAAAATTTATATTATTGGACAATTTAACACCATTAATTACCTACTACTTTATTAACCAAAAAGTTTGACCTTATTTGAGCCAATTTATTATTTATATGTTTTTAATTTTCAATATATGTTATCTATCTAATTCTTTTTTCCAATCTTTTATTTTAAACTTCTTGAAATTTAATTACCTATTTATTACTCTCTCTATGCACTTTTAATTGTTATGATTTCCTTTTTAGAGTCAAACTATAAGAATTTTAACTAATATTTTACAATGTGTTTTTTCATTGTATGCATAGGCAAAAAATTACAATTTATAGTACTTTTTGTATAGATTTTGCATATTTACCTTCTTTTTTTTAAAATATCGAATCAATACAATTTGATTTAACTTTGAAAATTAGTCAAATGGACTTTTAAAAAGCGCAACATGACAAATACAAGTGGACGGAGAGAATATATTTTAGCTACAAAATATATTAGAGGTACAACTTTTTAAAAAAATTAAATTTTTGTTGCGTTGACTCTTGAAATCTTGTCATTGTCATATGAATTTGAACAAATTTTAAATTATTAAAAGTTACATAAAAGATGCTATAAATCACAATAATTAGCAATTAAAAATATTTTTAAATCATATAAGAAATTTGGTTGACTAATTGGAATAGAATAAGTAACATGTACTATTTGAAAATAACGTCAAAGTTTCTAGAATTCACAATAAATTAACAACTGAAAATATTTATGATTATTCACGTGAATTGAAACATGAGTAACCTATATTATTCAAAACTAACGCAAGAATACTATAAATCACAACAATTTAATAACTTCAAATATATTTTTAAGAAACATATAAAAAGTGAACTGATCTTCAAATTTCATTTATATCACATAAATTAAAACAAAGAAAATTAATATTTATTGGGCCCGTGCTGGCACGGGCACCAAATATCTATATATATGTGTCACAAATGGAAAAGTCCCAATCAACGAAGCAACATATATCATTTACAAATGACTTAAAGAGCATTAAAAATTACAATAATTACAATTTAAAATATTTAAAAGCTATATAATACAATACGTTGACTCTCAGAATTCTATCAAGTTCACATATATTGAGACAGAAAAAATAACACATATTATTTTAAAATTACCAAAAAAGTATTATAAATAATAATAATTAACAACTTAAAATATCTGAAAGACATTTTAAAAGGGTTAATTTTGTAATTTTATCCATATCACATAAATTAGGACAAAATGACCAGTAATGTACGTTATTTGAAAGTTACATAAAAATATCATAAATCATAATAATTAATAACTTAAAACATTTTTTTAAAAAAATATGAAAATTTGGATGACTCTCCAAATTTCATTTGTGTCACATAAATTGAGACAACAAAAATAACATATATTGGGTCCATTTTAATTTATTTGTCTTATTTTTTTTTTATATTTAAAAATTGCATAAAAATACTATAAATCATGATAATTGACAATATAAAATATGTTTTGAAAAAAATACAAAAAATTCCACTGATTCTTGAAGTGAATCTATCGTAAAAATACTATAAATCACGATAATTGACAACATAAAATATTTCAAAAATGTTGTATGTGGGTAGTCTTATTATGCCTTAAATAGCGTCAAAGAAAGTACAAGTTTGTGATAAAAAAAACTTATTCATTTATCCACGCAAACAATCGCTTCAAAAATTCGATTATTAGCCCCAAAACATACCATTTATATTATTGGCACCGGCCACATTATATATATAATTTTATTTTATTTATAGATTAAAAAATATTATTTATAATCTACTTTGTTAATATAGTTTTCAGTGTTTATATATTTTATTTCAAATTTGGGCTTGTAAAATTTTGTAAATAATATTATTTTATTTTATTTATAGATAAAAATATTATTTATAATCTACTTTGTTAATATATTTTTCGTTAGTTTATAGCTTTCAATGTTTATATATTTTATTTCAAATTTGGTCTGTAAAATTTTGTAAATAATATTATTTTATTTTATTTATAGATAAAAATATTATTTATAATTTACTTTGTTAATATATTTTTAGTTAGTTTATAGCTTTCAATGTTCATATATTTTATTTCAAATTTGGGATTTTAATCGGACTTACAAGATATCCTCCTTCAGTAGCGATTTTGTCTTTTTGGTTAATTTTTTTATATATATATATATTTTTTATGTTTTTTTGGAGGAAAAAAATTGTCCTTTTGACTCTGGACTCCACATAAATATCTAAAAAATGTTTAGACAATAAATTTATCTTTTTTTAATGGCGGATTGAGAAGAATAAAGGAATGGTTCAACAACAAAATGGATCCTGGATTCTCGTGGATCACGAAGATGATAATTTTTAGTTCAAGCAAAAATGTTTCTCCTCAATCACATAAATAAAAAATGTTTCATCTCATTTGCGTGAAAGGATAATAATGTACTTCATATAAAAGTAGAATGGAAACACAACCCTTCTATGTGTTTCTTTAATTTATTTTTGGTAACATTATAATTGTGGTTATTTCTTTAAGAGAAAAGGGTCAAATATGCCTCTAAACTATGCGAAAATATCTAGATACACTCCCGTTTGAAGTTTGGCTCATTCGGGCCCTCGCTGTTCAACTTTTCACATATATATGCCCTTGTAGATGTTAGTTGTTTTGTTGGAAATAACCAACTCATTTTTCCTTTCTTGAAATAACAAGTGAAATTGCCACCTCCCCTTTTAATTACCACATGCCATTTATTTATATTAAAAAAATGAATATACTCTTTTAAATAGAATATCCTACCTGTAAATTTATATTAAAAATGAATACACTATTTATTGCTGCTAATAGTTATTTTTGTTGTAGTGTAAATAATTTCAAAACTGTCTAATAACTTCAACCAAACACAAGATAAAATATCATGCATTTTATTTTTAAAATTATTATACTTTATATCTCACACCAAACAAGTCAGAATCATAAAATTGGTTTACATTTGGATTGAAACGATCAGTGCATATTTTAGGGAGGGGAGGAAAAGTGAAAGTGCCTTTTAAAAGTCCAGTGGCAATCCATTTATATGCAGCTTCTGTAAAATGCATTCCATCCCAACTAGCATACACTGAAGTGTCACTGCAAATATTTCTGGCAGCTGGATCCCCACATATTGTAGAAAACATAAAGTTGTATGGCCCTCCCGCCCCACAACATGCAACTAAAGCTCCTTTTCTAAAACCTGTAATATTTTTAAAAATGAATCATAAGATTAGCGCTTCATTCAATTTTTCAATATCATAAGGCATAAAACATAAAACATAACATGAGTATATATAATTGTTAGTATTATTATATGACAAATAACCCTTTGATTTTTAACAATATACATAGAAAGCTATGCCATTATATTTTCTCTTGATTTAATTTAGAGGTGGAAATTTTAGCTGTTTTACTTTAATATGTGCATTTGTGTGTATAGTTAATTTAGAGAGAGATACGTGAAAAATCTTTGAATATATGAAGACAATTATGTACACTCCAAAGTGAAAATACACCACTAAAAAATCACTATTTTCCTTCTGAAAAATGTTCAGCCACTGATATTCTGATTGAATTGATGAGAAAAGAAAAAAATAGTAAATGTTTCATACGGAAAAATTAGGAAGCTTTTCACTAGTTCGATGAGAATCTATTTCATATCATGCATTTTTTTTTAGTGAACTTGTTCAATGGAAAATGAGTGGGAAAATCATATTTATCTATCACACAAATTTTGCACGAATTCATGGTGGGAAAAACCTTTTTTTCTAGTAGTGACACAACTTTTAGGCATCTCAAGCTCAACTAATATTTAAGAGTAAAAAATTTACACGCATTTTTAATTAAAGATTCAAATGAAAAAATATAAATTGAAACGGAGGAGTGATAAATAAAATTAATAATTACCATGGCTCTTTGGAGAGGCATAAAATTGCATGGCTGCATTGTAGTAGTCAGCATAGATTATTGTAGCAGTAGGATAAAGGTCTCTTAGAAGATGAAGTTCCTTCTGAAGAAGCTCATTGTATTGCTGTGAGAATTTGTTAAGCCAATTTAAACAACCAGTTTTGGGATCATACTGTCCCTTATCTGAGTGCATAAATTTTGTGAGATAAGCTGATGAACATCCAATCGGCAAATCCCCTGGAACTAACAGTGTGCTTGCGCCTAACTCGATTAATTCCTGCGCGCATCATCAAATAATCATTAAATTACGTACTATGGTTTATTATTTTGAAGTAAAGCAATATGAAGTGTGTTTGACCTCTATAGCTGAACTAATAGTCTTGATGACTGCTGGAACATATGATTCAACCTCTTCCTTGGTGCTATTTCCAAGAAAACCATAGTTGAAATCATTGCCTCCAATTTCTCCCATAAGTATCAATGAGTTTTGAAGAAATTCCTTGCATTCTTTGTGACATAATCAAAAAGAGTTGGTGATAGACAAATGTTGAAGAAAAACTTGTCCAAATATATTCTATAACTTTTTTTTTTTTAAAAAAAGGCTATAAATATTTCTGAACTATTCAATAGGTTCCCATCTAATTATCCTTCGTATTTTTTAAAAACAATTAATATGCCCTACTCGTTAGTCAGCTAGCTAAAAGATACCCACCAACTAACCATGCTCTGTTTATTTTTAATATGTTTAACTTGACATGAAGCTTAAAAAAGTAATTTTTTGAAAATTTGTAATCTAAAAGAAGTTGTAGATATTTTGTGTGACTATAGATCATAGAATGACATTTTCAAGCATTATTATATATAGAAAATTGTGTTACTCTTTTTGGGACATACTAAAAAAAGTGTCATTTGAATTACGAAAAATGGTCAAAATTGCTTTGAACTATGTGATAGACCACTTATACTCTCCATTACATTTTGGGATAAAAAATGCCCCCATCGTTCTCACAAGAGACAACAAATACCCTCAAGAGTTAACGATATCTCCGCCTAAGCAGTGCCAACCAGAATTCTGACTAAATTATGAGCCATTAATTTTGACCCGATGTATAACTCAAACTCTAACCACGATTATTTGGCTTCAGCTCTTTTGCTTCTTCTGACTGTGAAAAACCAGATGCGAGAAAGTGCCCTCTGCTTGATATATGATCAAATGGCTCATAGAAACAGTTTATTAGTAGCTGTAGTTGTTCAACTTGAGTTATGTATCTAAGGCAAAAGCAAGTGCGGTTGTTGAATATGGGACCTATTGAATTGTGGACATGACATGACTACTTGACTTATTCTATTTTCTGTCACCTTATCTTTAAATCAAGTGATCTACCACTCAGTCAACGATTTCATCCATTCTTGTGGTTCTTAATTTTAAGGGTGTTTTATGTTTCAAATCATCAGAACCAGAGGGACCTTGATGTTGTTTTTCAACAAATTTATGGCCTCAATATTTGACTAATTGGTACCGCTTAGGTGGATTATAAATCGGGTCAGAATTAATGACTCATAATTTAATGAGAATCCTAGTTGACAATTTAACAAAGGGTATAAATTAACTAGTCTATTTCACATAGTTCAACAGCAATTTTGACCCTTTTGCCGTTTAAATTAAGACGGAGAGAGCAGTAGCCTTCCAACTAATGATTGCTCCAACTTGATGACAAGAGCAACAGAATGCTGGGTCTGTTCACACCTTCTACACTTCAGGCAAGCTAAACATTTTCTAATTTCATTGCAGTTCAACTTAATTCTATTTTCTTTCTTAAATGTCAAGTCAAAATATACGTAAGGCGCAGAAGCAAGGATGAGTCCGGGTCCAGGGCTTGTTATATTTTCTTAAATATTAAAGCAGGCTAATAAGAGGAAAATTCTAATATTACTAACCTGAAGGAAATTTGCAAAATGAAGACATCATATCTTTGAACCAATTCAGTTGAGTCCCCAAAGACACATTGTTACTGGACGTTACTCCCTTGTCCAACAAGTAGGCAGAATCAAGTGCTGTTGCCCCTCCCACTGCAAAATTCACACCTTGCCTGAATTTTACATTATTCCTTTCATCTTCTCCTTCCAAATATGGTGGCACTAATGGGAGCCCAAAACTCTCAGCTACAAATACAACAAGTGATCATAAAAAAAATATATGGGACATTTAACATCTTTGCATATGCGTTTAGACTTATCAATTGAAGCCTGAATAATATAATATGAGAGCGCAATTAACAATGGACAAAAACTAGTATTTATCATACAAGTAACAAATTTGTAGATACGTACCAATAAAATCTATAACAAGACGTCCATCAGAAAAGCGACCAGTAGGATGATGAAAAAAGGTTTCACCATAAGGTGGCAAGGAGAAATGGGAAGGAGGGATTTTGTTTAGAGTGATATGAAGTTTATTTCCAGTGTCAGCAAGCGAATCGCCGAAACTAATAATGGAGTCGAAACACCCCTCAATGTTTTGAAAATTATGGTTTAAGACCAAAAACAAGAAACTCCATTTAACCAATTTTAGAGTCATGCCAAAGACAAACAAACGGTTTTTAATTTGCAACAAGAAAAAAAACACATTCTTATAAGCGAAAATGTGACACAAATGACCCCTTATATTTAGTGCTACGTTTAAAGTAGTTCCTTAAATATCATCCAAGTGACTTTGGTCTTTTAATTTAAGTTTATTAATTATGAGCATTTTTTTGGTCTCTGTTAAATATTTATCAAATTTTTATTTATAAATTTACTTAACGTAAACTCATATTTGATGGCAAATTGTTTGCAATTAATTAGTGTTATTTTTTCTATGTTTGATCTTTGTTTTTTTATGTTCTGGTTTTTAGAATAATTTATTTAAAAAATACAAAAAAGTTTTGATAAATCTTGTGGTTGTTTTGTTAAAATAAATGAATTTGAATTCATGATTTTTTATTTTTTTATTTTTTTATTTTATATATATATATATATATATTTTGTAACGACCCTCTTAGTCATTTTATGAATTTTAATCATTATTTTTATATTAACCCTTTTTAGTAACTTTTATAAATAATTTATGACTTATAAGAATGGGTGATATGATTTTCAGATTTAATAAAGGTTATTTTATTGCTAATAATAATAGAAAAGGAAAATAAATAAATAAAAAATTAAAAGAGAAATAAAAGGGCAAATATTGCTGGCTGTTGTGAACAGCAGCAGTTCGGGAAGAGGAAAAAAGAAAAAAAGAAAAAAAGAAAAAAAAAAGAAAGGGTTGGAATACTACCTGCGGCGGCCGACAACGAATTCAGGCGAGAAGTTCAAAATTTCGATTCTTTGAGTACGCAATATATTGCTAAATATGTTAAGTTGTCCATTGTTCTTGAAGGAAAGGTAGTATTATATATTATTATATGTTGGTATGTAATGAATTGGATTTCTTTTTGTTTGCTGTAATATTGATTTTTCAAATGGCGAAATGGTCTGACGGACCCTTATATTTGTATCAATTTGTATTCTGGACCATTCTACTTAATCATTTGTCAACTGAACCCTTATACTCAATTAAAACGAGACTTTTAATCCCCTCCAACCATGTGTGTAGCTCACTCTCCTTTACATAAATGACATGTCATATCCACGTCAAATATATTAATGCCATGTCATAATTATCTCATAACTATTTTTTAAAATTATTAATCAAAATTATTTAATGAAAGGTAAAATAATAAAATTTTAATTTTTTCTTTAGAGTACTACTGGCCAAAAATTGTAACTCTGACGAACTTCACCATTTTCTGTTCAACTTTTTGGTGAACTTCATTTCTCTGATTTCATGTTCTGCATTTTCATATGTTTTATGTGTTTTGTTTGATCTATTGATATGTTTGTTTAATGAGCGGAAACAATGGTGAGCTATAATGAAAAAAATGAAAATTCCATACATCCAATTTTTCCCATTTTCATGGCCAAAATTTATGGAGAAAGCCATCACCACCGTCGTCGCTACTTTTGCCGGCGAAATGACATATACTCTCTCCCTGACATGTCTACATCTCCGCCGCACACCATCACCATTTTCCTTTCCTCCTCCAACCTCCATAAAACCAATAACCTAAGTCATCGCACCATCAGATCTGGCCGAAAAACCTCTTAGTCGCCATGACCTCGCACCATCACCCACTTCGTTCTCCTCTACATTGACCACTGCCACCTCTCTCTCTCTCTCATTCCAATGTGAAACAGTGGTCTCCGGGGTGCACCACCAACGTCGCTTCTCTCTCACTCCACTGCGATTCAGTGCTCCGGCGAGTACCACCAGCGTCGCTTTCTCCCTCCGCGATGAATCAGTGGACTCAAGATATGGCCAAGATCTGGTAAATTGATTTTAATAGATTGTGAAGAAGGAAAAAAAAAGGTTGGGTTTGGGATGAAAATGGCTGAAATAGATAGGATAGTGGGAGAAGAAGAAGGAATTTTTTAATTAATTGTTTTTTTTAAATATTTCTTTTTATAATTTTAATTTTTTTAAACCCAAAAATGTCATTCACTCTCCTTAAGAGCGTGTAGTTACACACTTTTGCCAACTCAGACATTTTAATGCCACATAAGCCTGGTCAATGGTCAGAGGGATTTGTTAAATTGTGTTTTATTGAGTATATGGGATCAGTTGACAAATCATTAAATAGAATGGTCCAGAATACAAACTGATACAAGTACAAGGGTCCACCAGACCATTTCGCCTTTTCAAATTAATGTTAAGTATTATTATATGGGTTACTATTGACAGGTTATAGTAAGTAATCGTGAAGTAATTATAACCAATGATTGGAGGATGTTATATTATAAGATAAATGCCTTAACAACGTTCTGCCTATTAGTTTCACGTTTAAGTATTGCTTCTCAAGTGAGTTTCGATTTCAGATTTTATATAATTACCATATTATGATTAAAGTTTTGATATATTGAGATATGCAATTAAGTAGTGGGTGTATTGTAGTATATGAAGATCATTAAATTTATGTTATTTGGAGATATTGAGACTAAACCCTAGGCTTGAAATTTGGAAAAGAACTTGAAAGAGTTGACATATTAGTTGGTATCAAGATTAGGATAACTTGATTATAAAATCGATGTGAGTTTTTGGGTCTAGTCTAGACCTGTAGTGATATGGGTGTTGTTAGTTTTGAAATCTTAGCGTGGTCATTTATTTGAATAGATTGCTTTGATTTGGAAGTTCAATGAAAAGGGAAGACTCAAGTCCCGGAGTGATTGTTCGACTATTTGAGGCAAGTGGATTTCTAAACCCTTGTTAAGTTTATGAAATTCGTGTATTTCCTTGTAATATGTGTTTGGGGATAATGAGACTTAGTGATGGGTTGACTTGTCCACATTAATTAATTCTAATGATGAAAAATGTGTAATAAAAGGCAATGTGATTAATTATTTGTGTGTGATGTGTTGAGAATGGCTTGAAAGGCTTGTTGAATAATTGTTGATGTTGTATCATGATTGTGTTGTTGTGAATTGTGCAATGTTATGAAAATGGTCATCTCCTCATTATTTGTGTGAACATGTCATTTGCATTGTTGTGAGACATGGTTGTGTGACATGGTTGTGTGAATTGAGAAAGAATAAGAAATTAAAGAGGATGTACCATTTCGAAGAACGTATCGCGCGCTGCGATGGATACTATATTTTGAGGGACGTATCGCGCGCCGCGATGGTTACTATTATCGAGGGTCGTATCGCGCGCCGCAATGGATGCATGGATAGATATATCCCCCATGGGTCCTGATTGAAAGACAGCGGGTGTGTATCAGTAGGGCAGACATGCATCACTATACTTGACATTGCATTGCACATCTTTATCATTGATGAACTTGATCTTGTGTGTTGTTGATCTTATGAGTGCCTTTTTGTGGAAGTTATGATTAATGAATAGTGAGTTTATTGTTGAGGATATATAATCGTTAAAGTGTTGTTGTTGAGCTGTGTGTCATGTAAACTGCGAACTGTTAGGTTGGGTTGGTTTTATGTATGTGATAGTTGTGATTGATGAATATTGAGCTTGTTGTTGAGGATATGTAATTGTTAGAGAGTGTTGTTGTTGAGTTGTGTGCTGTATAAATTGTGAACTGTTAGGTTGGACTGGTTTTATGCAGGTTGTAGTTGTGGAGGTTCAATTGAGGTGTAAGGAGTACTCATATTCTATCCCCTTAGCTTGCGTTTAAAGGTTTACTTGTTGAGTACCGTGTGTTTGGTACTCACCCCTTGCTACTACATTTGTATTGTAGGTTATTAGCCCGGACCTTTGTGATATTTTTCTCTTCTCCTTGTCCGAGGCTTCTTGGAGATTTCTGAGGTAGCTGTTTGTTATCTCAACGGACTTTCTTACTCATATTTATGATCTTGTTCTATTCTAGAAACAAGGTCATTTGAGACTTGTGTTTTTTTTCTTTTGAATCAAATACTTTAGAGGCTTGTACACGTGACAACCAGATTTTGGGGGTATTTTTGAGTGGATTATAAAATTTCCGCATTTTATTGTAATGATTGAGTTTTAGGCTGACTTGTCTTGGTGCGATAAGACGAGTGTCATCACGTCCATTTTTGAGTCATGACATATATATATATATATATATATATATATATATATATATATATATATATATATATCACATTCTTATTAAGAGAAATTGACAGACTGGCCCCTTATCTTTAATTTGGTACTAGTTTTAAAATAGTTGTTGTATAAGAAGTTCTGGTCTTGCCAAATATGAACATTTTTGGCGTCACTTAAATATTTATTAAACTTTAATAGTTATAAAGTTGAAGGGAATTGTGGAAATAGGAAATACTTGTGTGAACTCATATTTGAAAGTACAATTTTTGCAATTAGTGTTTTTTTTTCTGTTTTTTTTTGTGTTTGGTCTAGTTCTTTATGTTCAGGTTTCTTGATTTTTGACGGAAATTTTATATGTATTTTTTGTTAAATCCCTTTATTTTTTTTAATCACAATTTGGATTCAAGAGTTAAAGTTTGATAACTAATATACATATCAAAAGCGTTCATTTTTAGCTAACTTGAAGAATCCACATTATTCAGATGATAGTTGAAACTATTTACAATCTACATCCACAAAATAAAGAACTATTTTAATCATTTTCTCCTCTACCGCGACCTGTTCCTTTCATCTCAGTTTATACTACTTACTTTTCTTTTTAGTTAGTATAGAAACATGACACATTTCTATATTAAGTAATAATTTAATTTTAAAATGTACATCTTATCCTTGATTAAGTGATTAATAGTCACATATATATCTATCACTTATTTTAAATCATAAATTTCAAAAATCATCATTTCTTTCTTATATTCGGTATGAAGTTAAAATAACTTATATAAAATAAAACGTAGAAAGTAATAAATAAAGTTATTATCTCCGCCACAAATTTAAGCAACTTGGATAACATATCTGATGCAGCTGCTATTGTGATGTTACTGAGAATTTGTCGCCTTTCCTGGACCACAGTACCAACGTTTTCCTCATTTGCTATATTTGCCATAATAATGCTGCTATTTTACTAAGAAAAAAAATGTAAATCATATACTCCCTCCATTTCATTAGTTGATCATTTTATTAAAAATAATTGTCTTATATTAGTTGTCCATCTTATTAAATTAAGAAATTGTTAGTTGAATTTTTCCTATATTGCTTTTGCAATTAATTATTTTATTAATTGCTTACATTTGTTATAAAATTTCCAAGAAGTTTTTTAAAGGGTGAATTAGTAAAATTATCTTCTTATTTATGTTGGTGTAATATACCACAAATAATATAAATTATAGTTAAAAATAAAATGACAAAAAATGAATAAATAATCTTTATGCTGAGGCGCGGATATCTTCGCTCTCTTTAAAGAGATTCAAGTCCACTGCGGCATAATCTACACCGATCCAGCAGTATCACTCTTAGTCGTCGTTTTATGAATTTTAATCATTATTTTTATATCAACCCTTTTTAGTAACTTTTATAAATAATTTATGACTTATAAGAATGGGTGATATGATTTTCAGATTTAATAAAAGATTATTTTATTACTAATAATAATAGAAAAGGAAAATAAATAAATAAAAAATTAAAAGAGAAATAAAATGGCAAATATTGCTGGCTGTTGTGAAGAGCAACAGTTCGGGAAGAGGAAAAAAGAAAAAAAAGAAAAAAGAAGAAGAAAGGGTTGGAATACTACGTGCGGCGGCCGACAACGAATTCAGGTGAGAAGTTCAAAATTTCGATTCTTTGAGTACGCAATATATTGCTAAATATGTTAAGTTGTCCATTGTTCTTGAAGAAAAGGTAGTATTATATATTATTATATGTTGGCATGTAATGAATTGGATTTCTTTTTGTTTGCTGTAATATTGATTTTTCAAATTAATGTTAAGTATTATTATATGGGTTACTATTGACAGGTTATAGTAAGTAATCGTGAAGTAATTATAACCAATGATTGGAGGATGTTATATTATAAGATAAATGCCCTAACAACGTCTGCCTATTAGTTTCACGTTTAAGTATTGCTTCTCAAGTGAGTTTCGATTTCAGATTTTATATAATTACCATATTATGATTAAAGTTTTGCTATATTGAGATATGCAATTAAGTAGTGGGTGTATTGTAGTATATGAAGATCATTAAATTTATGTTATTTGGAGATATTGAGACTAAATCCTAGGCTTGAAATTTGGAAAAGAACTTGAAAGAGTTGACATATTAGTTGGTATCAAGATTAGGATAACTTGATTATAAAATCGATGTGAGTTTTTGGGTCTAGGCTAGACCTGTAGTGATATGGGTGTTGTTAGTTTTGAAATCTTAGCGTGGTCATTTATTTGAATAGATTGCTTTGATTTGGAAGTTCAATGAAAGGGGAAGACTCAAGTCCCGGAGTGATTGTTCGACTATTTGAGGCAAGTGGATTTCTAAACCCTTGTTAAGTGTATGAAATTCGTGTATTTCCTTGTAATATGTGTTTAGGGGTAATGAGACTTGGTGATGGGTTGACTTGTCCACATTGATTAATTCTAATGATGAAAAATGTGTAATAAAAGGCAATGTGATTAATTATTTGTGTGTGATGTGTTGAGAATGGTTTAAAAGGCTTGTTGAATCATTGTTGATGTTGTATCATGATTGTGTTGTTGTGAATTGTGCAATGTTATGAAAATGGTCATCTCCTCATTATTTGTGTGAACATGTTGTTTGCATGGTTCTGAGACATGGTTGTGACAGGTGTTATGTGAATTGAGAAAGAATAAGAAATTAAAGAGGATGTACCATTTCGAAGGACGTATCGCGCGCCGCGATGGA